GTTGAGTCTGAAAGTCCAGATAATAATAAATGTTGCATTTGATATACAGCCTTACCACCAAAATATCTAAAAGTTTGTATAAAGTGTAGAACCTGCATTTTTGTATGTGAACATGATAACCGATTTAGCACAGCAATGTCCTAGAAACAGCCATGAGGTAAATGACCATTTTTTTAAAACCCGGGCAATTTTTGGCCATGATACCAAATAATTCCATGGAATCCTTTAATATGCACCTGAATAAGCAGAAGGTGTAATGTCTGTTCTGAAGAAAGGTACCTCCAACGCAGCACACCCTCCACGTCGGAGTGTCAGCCAGCCTGTGAGCTCGAAGTCCTGACAAGGGGTTTGAACTCACAAGCTTCTGATTCTGAGATTTTTTTTAAAGCATACAAATGGGGAGATGTTTAAATTCTGAAGCTAAAAGCAGATGTGTTGTGATCACTACACACATCCCAATTTGTGCCAGGAACTGCTGTTAATGATGCCACGATTTCAGAGTGAAGTGTTCTGTAGCCAATTAATCACAAAGATATCCCCTGCTCAGGTGGATGGTGAGGGTGAAAGGTAAAGGATGATCGCTTAAGAAGAGAATGTTTTGTAACCATCATCTGAGGACATGAAATACTTTTCTTTTGCTCCACACTACAAGAAAGGTTCACACAAAGAAAACAATTTGATCTCGTCCTTTCAGAATACTCTAACATCTTCCCAATTACAGCATCAAGCTGTTTCTCAAAAGAATTCAGTGTCCTGGCCTCAACCACCCTCTCTGGTAAACTGAATGACAATCCAAACCTGGCTGATCACCCACACATCACTACCTACGACTTTCTCAAACAGAATTAACACAACAAATCCAGCCAGTGAACATTTGTCTATAATAACAATAATAATAATCTCCACATAGCAAAACTATACGTCACGTCAAGAGGTTATCTCAAAACACTTAATAGGCATACCATAAAGTGTAGTGGCTGTGTGTTTTTGTTGGCAAATGGGGCAGCCAACTTTGCACACAGCAAAGTTCCACATATAACCATGAAGTGAATGACCAGTTTTATTTGGGGAATTGTTGGCTGGGACACTGGGAAAAACTCTTCTATTAGACTCTAAAGTAGCTTTTAAAGAAAGTGGCGATGTTAAGGCTTAGCTGTGGAAAAGGGATTAAAAGTATCCTGCTCCCAACTGATAAACTACCAGGTACAACTTCAGATCAAATTGGCACTAAGCAACTGGCGTTAAGAAAAAGCACTGGCTAGTCAGAAAATTACTTCTCATGTAGTACAAAATGAAATGGTTGCAACCAGCACAGGCTGAACGGTGCAGATCGCATTGTGACGCCCAAACTGAATTTAAAAAAGGTGGAGCGGGCTTTGCAACCTTTAACAGATAGGCTGGGCAAATCCAGTCTATATATGTGCACACACGGCAGAAGGCTGTGCATTAGAGGTATAAACCTACATATACGTGTTCTCACCTCTGCATGGTTATGAGCAGAGTAATTGGATTACACAGGGATTTGTAGTGGGTTTCTGCAGAAATGAAATACATGGTATCTATGGTAACCACAGTAAATGGTGCAGCTGGAAACCTTCTAAAAGCTGACAGAATGATAAATAGGGGATAATAATAAACGTTCAGCACGGTGTAATTGGTATCCACTGAATGGGTGTAACCATGTTTTGTTTCATTTATAGTTTCTGGAGGTGAGACAAAAGTAGCCAAATCTGTTCTCATGGGCTGGGAGAGATGGGAAATTCTCTTTACAATAGAGGACTATTCATAGTAGGAGCTGACAGGCCTGGCTACAGCAATGCCCTTTTCCAAATGTGCTTGTGTAATTCAGACTGAACTGCTGAAACCTGTGACCTCCCGGGTAGAAACCTAGTTAAGTGTTCATTTGCAATCGCCTCCGATTCCCCCCCCATCTCCCAAATGCTGAAGCAGTCAAATTGTATTTGTAATACGCTCTATAAGGTTCAGATGAAAGGCAAGAGAATGGCTTGCAGCACTTCGTTATTTCCAGAGATAACACTGAGGAATTCGCAAACAGAGGATTATCACCCAAAGTGAAAAGGGAGTGGTGAGAGAAATTGTCTGGCAAGCTTTCCTGCTGCTTGTCCAGCTAGGATCACCCTACCCGTGAGGGCTTTGTCTTACAGGGTTAACAGGAGTTGAGTGGAAGGATTCCCTGCCCCAAGTGACTGGTCTGCCCTCTTGCCAGGTCTTGCCGATGAGCCAGGCTGGCTGTGCTGTCATCAACGGTGCCCTGGAATACTGCAGACTTGCTTGGCTCAGGAACTCAAGACCACCACAGAGGGCTGGCTTGATTCCAACAGTCCATTGCCAAACAGTTCACCTTGGAACCAGTTCAGCTCCAAGGATCCCGCCCACCAGGAGGATAAAACATATCTAAGAGCCTCAATCTCACTGTCAAACCCTTCCTTGGTTTTGCACCACCCTGTCTCTCTGAGATCTCTTTCAACCCTGCGTCCCCGGCCAACTCTGGCCTGTGATCTTGTGGTCAGCTCAGTTCAGATAATATCACAACTTTGCACTTGTAGAGCACCTTTCATGTTGTGAGAACATCTCAAAGCTCTTTACAAAGGCTAGAGAGATGGATCCTGGAAGGAGATAGGAAGGGCGAGCGCACAGGGAGGGAGTTGCCTGAAAGCAGAGTCAAAGAGATAGGTGTTTGGGTAGGATGTGAAAGAAGGGAGGGAGAGGGCATAGTGGAGGAATTCCCAGAGCGTCAGGGAAATGTGTCTGAAGGGTCGCTCGCTGAGGGTGGGGCCTTTCTGGACAGGGACGTGAGCAGGCCAGAGTTGGTGGAATGGAGGGAGCGGCCGGAGAGGCAGGGTTGAAAGAGTGTGGGGAGAGGTGGGAGGCATTGGTTGACTTTTACTCCCAGAGATTCTTCTCACCAAAGACATGGCTGTACCACCTTAATAATAATCTTTGCATTTGATGTAGCGTCTTTTCACGTCATCAGATGTCTCAAAGCGCTTCACAGGATATAGTGTAAGGTGGAGTGACTGTGCTTTTTGTGAGCTACACGCCCACAAAGTACACCTGTGATCGATTAGGAGTGAAGCTGCCTCAATCCTGGCAGTTTCCCGCTCCTCATTGAGGCATGAGAACAATGTTTACTCAGATGCTGCGTTTCTTCATGTTGTATGATCAACATTTTAACAATGATAAACAGTCTTCAATACACCAGAAATAAGAAGAACTTACATTTTTATCGCACTTTATATGTCGAAACATCAAATGCCCTAAGTATTTCCTTCCCAACTGTAATGACTGCTTTTGCAAGACCGAGGCCTTCTTGATTGGCTCGCGCCAGCGCCTCCACACCTCGGGCGCTGGCAGCATCAGCCTCCACACTCAACCTCACTAAGCCAGTCAGGAACCTGAGTATCTTGTTTGACCCTGAATTGTCCTTTCTCCCCCACATCCACGCCATGACCGGCACTGCCTACCACCACCTCCGCAACATTGACAGACTCTGCCACTGCCTCACCCCTCAGGCTGCCGAAGCCCTCACCCACGGATTTGTCACCTTAAGGCTCGATTACAGAAACTCACTCCTCATCGGCCTTCCCAACTCTTCCCTTCACAAGCTGCAGAACATCCCAAACTCTGCAGCTCGTGTACTCTCGCACACCAGGCTCCATGACCCCATCACTCCCACTCTCGCCCGACTCCACTGGCTCCCCATCCCCCAGAGGATCGAGGTTAAGATCCTCATCCTCACTTTTAAGGCCATCCATGGCCTTGCCCCCTCCTACCTCTCTGACCTGCTGACTCCCTACCAACCTGCCTGCTTACTCCATTCAGCGGGCTCCGATCTGCTCCATGTCTCCCGCCCGACCTGCCCTACCATCGGCGGCCGAGCTTTCAGCCTCTCTGCCCCCATATTTTGGAACTCCATCGCACCATCCCTTCGCCTCACTTCCTCCCTTGCTGGTCTCAAGACCCTTCTCTTCGATCGTGCCTTTGGTCGCCCTCCAACCTCTCTACCTTCCCTCAGCCCTAAACCGCCCCTCCCCCATGCTCAGGCCCCGACATCTGACTGTTTAGCACTTTGGGACGTCCTCCCGACGTGAATGGCGCTCTATGAATGTAATTTTTTGTTGTTGTTGGCAAATCTAGCAGCTATTTTGCACCCATCAAATTGCTACAAACAGCAATAATGTAAAAGATAAAATCTCTCATGGTTTTGGATAGTGTCATGGAAACTTTAATGTCCACCTGAAGCCCAGGTTGATGAGATCTGGGGAGAACGGAGTGATCCTGGTGTGATTTACACAAATTGTGTTTCTAATGAATAGATTAAATAGTGTTCTACCTCTGAAACCACCACCTGGAGGTGTTGTCAGTAGCTTTTCGCATCAGTACAAATCTACCTTTTCATTTAGATAATTATTTGGAGAGGACAAGTTTGTAGAGCAATGGGGAGAGAGGGGGGAATTTGAATTCGGTAGCACTTTTCAAAGAGCCGGCACAGACACAATGGGCCAAATAGCCTCCTTCTGTGCTGTACAATTCTATGATTTACTGAGGCAAAGTTTACAATTTGTTAGTTAGCCCATAAGGAATAAGTTACAAAACATCTCAAACTTTACCCCACTATTTTTCTGCTCTTTGCATCTTACATCACCTTTTCCGCACAGCTCAGTGGAACGAGACAGACAATTTCCACTGAAAATAATGGCAATTCCTAAATTCTCACGGAAATGCACAAATGTGCGTGGCCGTTTCATTACCCGAAAATGTGCATCAACTCCTCGGTGAAATGGTACACATTACAAAGCACCAAAATACATGTTGTCTGCTGAACAAAATGCGTATTCAGTAAAAGCGTTATCTCACTGACACTAGGTGATAGAAACTGCTCACCCAGCACCAATTGACCTCGGGCATATAGGATCCATCGATTAGATAAGGGTAGGCGTTAGCTTTACAAACATCAGAAAGGTACCAAGCAGACTGACCTCAGACAGCCGGTGGCATTGCGCAGCACCATGGACGAATGGAGCTGAATTTTGCGGTCTTCCTGGTGTGGGGAGATGTCCCAGCCGGAATGTGGAATGATTATAGCATTGGTCAGCACCACAAGTGCATCCTGGATAATGGGCATCTTCAGTGCATCACATGATGACAAGTTCCACAGCACTCCTTTAAAGAAAGAGAAGAATAGACATTAAAAAAAAAGTTAAAGGCAGCAATGAAACACTTCAAGGAAATGATTCCGCTTCGCACCCTAAATAGGTTCCTGTACATACGTCCTGGGAATGAAAACGGGACTCTGTTGTGTTAGTTGCAGTGGCATAATAATAATAATCCTTGCATTTGATATAGTGCCTTATCACGTGTTCGAGACGTCTTGACTGTATATTTTGTGGGTGAAACACGGCAGCCAATTGTGCACAATTGAGTATCTCAGCCTTGTGACAGGGCAGCTGAGCATTTGTCTGAAGGATGTAGTATAAATTCAACGTAGACATATATTGTGTACCACAGCGGGTCCTATGATTAGGCCAGAGGATGGACACACATGCTAGAGACACATCGCTGAAGTAAAAGAAATTCACAGTTTTCATCTTCCTACAGGCTACTGTGTCAGCATCTCTTTCACATGGGGCCCCAAATTCATCACATTCTTAACCTTAAGTGCAACTTAAATGCAAATGCAAAGATTATCTTTAAGACCATTGATGTAAAATTTAAGATTGTGCGGAATTTTGGAAACCAGCCTTTACCTTCCTTTAGAAACAGATTTTCCACAAGTCAGAGACTGTGGCAGAAAAAACAACCTGTGAATTCGAGACTGAATTTAAGATTGTTTTCCCAAAATTCCACACAACTTTAAATTTTAAGACAATGAAGAAATTCTGGGCTCCTGGTGATTCAATGCCTCAATAGGTTTTAATAAAAGAGATTCAATTAGAGATTGGAGCGCGCATACAGTTTCTGCATACCAGAAATGTGTAAAGATACTTTTTTATTTAAGCCCTATTAATGAATAGAAATGATTTTGTGAATTTTATATACTATACATATATAAAAATTGTTCCATTATCAGAATCCGTAGAAATACAGTCCTGGGATCAGGCGAATAACACAGAGACTGCAATGAGACATCATGTGGTGTCCCTGTGTCCTTGTTACAATCTTAGTGTCTCCTAACCAAAACTTCTCGACTTATCTTCTGCCCTTCACCTCGATTCTGAACAATGACGACAAGCATTTCCATGTGCCGAGACATTTTTGTATTGCATAATTTTGTGAAAATTGTCTTTGGAGACTAGAGATAAGTCCAGCTATTATCTTGTACTGTGTTCTGTGGCCTGAATGCAATGAGAGAATCAGAGCCTCTGATTCATCGCTTTCAAAGAGGATCTGAACCTTTGGGTCCCAGGGCTAGCAGGAAATCCCTGATGATTCCATTCCACATCCAACTCTGGATACACCAGGGTGGTTGCAGCTTTGACTTAGCGATCACCTTGTCTCATCAACAAGTTGCATTTATCATTAATAATAATAATCCTTGCATTTGATATTGCACTTTACCATGTTGTTGAGTCATTTCAAAGCATTTCACAGAATATATTTTGTGGGTGAAGTGCAGAATCCAATTGCTCACAGCAGTGTCCTGCAAACAGTCTTGGATTGAGTGACCAAATTGTTATCATTATTATTTTTTGAAGGGATTATTATCCCCGGAAAGCGATCTGCTTATTGACTAACAACCGAGTTCCTACTTACTGCTACTTAAACAGGAGCGTGTAGAATGAGGAAACTTGCCTAAGGTTTCGCCCTGCCTGGGTCCTCTCACTTGCGAAGCGAGCGTTCCAATCAATACGCTACAGGACTCCACGAGCGTGTGGACTCCACTCCATTTATCTAGTGCCGTTTATATAGGATAACATCTCAGAGTGTTTCATAGTGGTGAGGTTAGGCAAGGGAGAAGGGACCACAGACACATCAATGAGGTAGTTCTTAGCGTGGGATTTAACGTTCGAAGTGATTTTAAAAAAATATTGGGGTTGGGTCTGAATTTAACGTAGGAATGATATATGTAATGCCAAAAACATCACCCAATTAACTTAAAAATCTACAAGAGAGTGAGTTGAAAAATTCAGCGTTCAAAGAGATGCAGCATGATTTAATGGCCCTGATTGTGGGTGGACAAAACAATGATGGTGCTACTCAACAACCACTAACTGTGGTTAGCTCTGAAGCCAAATCTGGGGTTCGGGAAGGTCAGAAGGGGGATAGCACCCAAAGATCTGTTGATAATTAAAAAGATAGGTTTGGATCTCACATAATTGTCATTATTGCTGGTCATAATTTGATCGTGAATGTCACATTTTTCATCCCTTTAGTTCTTGGAGTAGATTTAATCCACCCACAAACAAGGCTGATGCGGTTTTATGGCTTTACATAGAGCATTCCTCTATGTAATTCAAATGAGATTTTGTTTTCAAATCTGAAGAAATGGATGAGAATATTGCTGCTGTGTATAGAGCGGAAGACTAGAGGAACAGCAGGAGAAGGAGAATGATGGTTCAACTTAAATTGTGACACTTGTACTTCCAAAGTATGAAAGTCCATCGATGTTCCTTTCTGAATCAAGCTATCAGAAAAAAGGTATTGTAACTCATTGGAATGATAGATTCAAGATTGGTCAATTCCTGTCAAATGTGCTACAACAGTGGGACACACTGCCATTGTGAATTTGCTCTCATCGGTAACAGTCTTTCCATCTCCAGCGCTTTGGGACGTCTTCCTGACTGAAAGATGCTATACAAATGTAATTTTGTATTGTATCTCTGGACCAGGGCTCTCTCTACCTCCTCATCCTTCATGACCTCTCTGCTGCCTTCAACATTGTTGGCCATTTTATTCTTCTCCACTGCCTTTTCCTTCAGCTCTGCCTTCATGGTTCTGTCCTTGCCTTGGTTTCGCTCTTATCTATCTCAACGTCTCCACTTTATATCTGGCAACAGTTTCTCTTCCTATACCCGCATCATCCCGTGCAGTGTTTCTCAGGGATCCATCCTCGGTCCTCTCCTCTTTAACATCTACCTGTTTCCACTGAGCGATGTCAACCTCAGGCATATGGGTTAACTCCATCTGTATGTGGATGACACATGATTCCATCTTTCTGCCTCCACTCTCAATTCTAGGACCACTGCTGTTCTAACCAATTGCCTATCAGACATCAAGTCCTGGATGAGAGCTAACTTTCTCCACTTTAATGTTGACAAGACAGAGATTCTCCTGCTTAGTTCCCATCAGCACCTTCTCATCTCACGTGCTGACAGCATCACACTACATGGATGCACTCGACACCTCATGGAGCCAGAACCCCTGAGTCTTGTTCGATTCTCAAATGTCCTTTAAACACCCACCTCCTCTACATTTCCAGTCTCCTCCACTACTTCTCCCTTTAGGACCGCCAAGTCTCTTATCCATGCTTTTATCATGTCCAAGCTTGACCACCCCAACTCTGCTTGCTGGGCTTCCCAACTCTTCCCTCCACTAGTTGTAGACCATCCAGATCTCTACAGCTCATGTCCTCTCCCTCATTGGGCTCCACTAGCCAATTACCCCAATCATCGCACGACTCCGATGGCTTCCCATCCCCCAGAGAATCGAGTTCAAGATGCTCCTCCTCCCCTCTATGGTCTTGCCCCACCCTACCTCTGTGACATCCTCAAGTCAACCTGGCTGCTTGTTGGCATCCAACCTCATTACTATGCAGCATTCCAAGATGCTATCCTGTGTGAACAACGCTGTTTAATAATAACAACAATAATCCTTGCATTTGATATAGCACCTTATCACGTCTTTGAGAAGTCTCAACACACTTCACCGAATATATTGTAAAGTGTATATTTTGTGGGCAAGACGCGGCAGCCAATTGCGCACAGCAGTGTCCCACAAAGAGTCGTGGATTGAGTGACCAATTTTAAAAAAAATTCAAATGCAAGTTGATGTTTTGGTATCCAAACCAGACTCAATTTCACAAATATATGCCACCTACATATGGCAATTTCCCAGAAATCAACTTAACTAAATTTCCTGTTAGGTTCCTGAAGGTTAGGTGTTCAAATACCCTGAGAGACTTTGATCAGATAGTCACTATACTTTACAGTAAATCCTATGAAATGCTTTGAGATGTTTTGACATGATCAGGTGTTATAGCAAATGCAAGGATTATTAAGGATTATATTCCAATCCAAGTCCCAGAGATGAAAGGGCAGCATGTTAATCATACTATTGCCTTTGAGAATTGGATTAGAAAAGGATTGCTACAATATCAGGACCCATGTGAATGACTGGATTGTTTTCTTAAACATTTCATTTTAAGAAGTTTTCAGTGTGTTTGATATTCTCAGTCACACTCAGTTTGTCTCTTCATTGATTCAATGCTCCTGACAGATAAAAGTGGCAATCATCCTGTTGGATAATTGTTCACAACTGTATGCGATCCTAAATTTTAAGACGAAACGGTCTTATGGGTTAAGACTCGGTGGAATTTTTGGCTTTTGGAGTGCATGGCACCCCCTCATTTTATGATTGCTCTTGATAGGACACATGTGATTAAGAGTATGCAGGCCATTCAGCCCCTTGTGCCTGTTCTGCCATTCTATTTGATCATGGCTGATCAATTCCAATTCAAACCAGACTAATTCAAACCAGACTCAGAATTGCATGCAAGCTACCTACACATAGATATTCCCATTTCTGGAAAGAATTAATCATTCTCTCCACCAGAGAGACATTACCTGCTTACGTAATTCTGGACAGAATTAGGCACAGCTTTGGCAAGAGCTAAAGTTTGGGTACCCCACTGTGTGGTTGAGATATTGCTGGAGTCTAACCAGCTAAAACCACATAGCTTGGCATTAATAGCATGGTCTGGCAAGCTTTCCCGCTGCTTGTCCAGCTAGGACCACCCTACCCGTTAGGGCTTTGGCTTGCAAGGATAACAAGAGCTGAGCGGGAAGAATTTCTGCCCCCAGTGACTGGCTTGCCTGTCCAAGTGCTGACAATGAACAAGGCTATCTGATCTGTCATCAGTGGTGCCCTGGAGTACTGCAGTTTGCCAGACTCATGAATCAGACTGCCGAGACCTTCACAGAGGGTTGACTCAATTCAGACTTTTC